GTTGTTTATTCACTGAGGCAAAAGAGGTCTGCTTCCAGCACACTGCAGTATGTCCACGTTTTATAATGCATAACGCATCAATAAAGGCAAAAGCTAACGCAGGGATGTCAGGACTACAAGTGACTCTGTTCAAAGATATGTTTTTGCCTCACCGGATTCCTACGTGTCCGAGACAAAAAATTCTAGTATTGATCTCATTGCGCGATGAAATGGCATTTACGTTGCATCTATTGCCTGAACGCAAAGAGAATCCTCGTTTGAGCTTCATGGTAAAGGATGGTTGTCCTCCGTCGGTAAACAGTTACCAAATGGCTACGCTGCGCAAATTGTAGAAGATGCTTCCCGATCAATGACCTCCTGCAGGTCGATCTTACTGTAACGAAACATAAGCACAGCGGCACTATGAAGAGTACGAAAAACTTTTCGTTGCAGAACAGCAAACCAGTCAAGGCGATATGGATAACCATCGGTATTAAATCGCCAAAAAAGAGAGACAGCGATCTTGTTCAAAATTGGTGCCGAGAATTTCAGCGGTCTCATCAAGTAGAAGGTGGACACGAAATTCATCTGATCAGACCAGTCAAGACGGTCGTCGTTTATGTGAACCATCAGGTACTTAATAGAATGAGTGCTTGGGATCAATTCGTTTTCAATAGTTGTTCTTAGTTCAGCTCTTAGCAACAATTTGACTGACCTGTTGCCTTTCACTGCATAGGTCATTTCGAAGCTCTTGCTCCTCCTGAAACCCGTCCATAACTTAAATCCTCAGAGATCAAGATGAGAGCAGGTGAAATCATCCCTTGCTATGTTTATGTTTAGAGTGCAACTATTTTTATTCGTTTCTACTGGGTTTTCAAATGTCCCTAATGCTGAAAATGGAAAAAGTAAGAACAGTACCAGAAGCATTGAGTTCTCGAATGTTCATCAGCTCGTTGCCACCTTTTGCCGTGAAAGAAGGACAATTCAATGCGACGACCTGATGACGGGAATAACAAGAAAATCACATGCAAAATAGCATCTCCTGCGGATACAAACTTGCAACAGAGTTGCATGTTAGTTTGAAGAGATCTCAGTGATGACTGCTGATTTGCAAAAACTAGTAAAAGTCGTTTAAGAGCAGTTTGCGCAGGACTGTCGCAAAATACAGCGGTTTAAAATGGGTTGGAAACAAACTTCCTGGTGGACATCAGCAAGAAGGCTTTATTCAAGAGATGACCTCGAAACAAAGAGCCTTCAACTCGAATGCAGTGCGAAGACAAATCGTTTGGTTCACGTGCCTCGGCACGGTCCGGAATACAGATATGAGAAAACGCCTCGGTGTACAGCCTTTGATTATGCGATTGAGAAATCCCAGCTGTAGTGGTTTGAGCACTCAACGTGTCGGCTTTCAGAAAGGAAGACGAAACAGCTACTACTTGCCAAACTTGTCTATGGAAGACCCTTGAACCGGCAAGAGTTTCGACATACTCTTCTCATCTGGACTGGGGTCACCTTCTACCGAAACTCAAATGCGGGCACAGGACCAGGAACGATCGTAAGACCACCTAATGAACCTGTCTTCACGACCCAGAAGGATAAAGCGTCACAGTGAGTGATTGACTGACTATCGGATGGATGGAAAATAAATGCAGCCGTGGCAAGCGCGCCTTGAACAACAAGGTCGAAAGTCTCGTGCGACACCGAAACGTTTGTCCAGTTTTTAGCATGTCAACAAATTTCTATTCGTTTTTCGGCCGGATCGCATCGAACCACACGAGGGAGCAAATTTCTTGCTCAAGAGAACCGAAGCGTAATACTCAACTGCGGTTTCGCAACCAAAGGGTTTATTTCAGTTGATACACATGGATACACACCTTGTCGTGAAATATGGCAGTTTATGGATATGCTCCTTTTCATAATGTCGTCAATGTCATAATGCCAGTGAGTCTTGAGGACATAAGAGCTTTTTCTTGGCCGTGCTCCTATTGACCAACCGGATATTATTTGCTAGTGATGCATTCATGATCATGGGCCGTCAGCGGATCTGCTTGAGGTCATTTCTTCCCGGAAATCCTTATCTGGAGTGTGACTGAAATACTGAGCGGAAATATTTGGCTTCGGGTTTTTTTCAGTGCGGTTAATCCGCAGGTCAAAGGGTCACCACATAAAAAGTTAAAGCAGCCACCACAAAAGCAAAAGAATAGTTTCGCCTTCCTTCAGATTTGAATCCGATATTTCAAAAGCCCAAATCAGCCTATTGATTTGTCGTGCCTGCCTGCGTTTGCAAGAGTTTCACTAAAGAAGCGGCACAAAAGTTGAAAGTTTTTCTCATAGCCAATTTCATTTTTCAGCACAATCAAGGCGGGATAAATAAATAGCAGAAAACTGATAGTTGATAAATAAAGAAACTCGAATAAATGCAGACGATATTACGTAGTAGATCATGGATAGCTGAATCAAAACGAAAGACTCAACACTATGTTACATTGAGCATGTCAAAGAAGTGTTGATGGGCAACTTCCGGGTCTCGGAGATATTGCGGTGAAGCTGGGACAATGGATCTTCTAAACGATTCTGTTCGAGAAGATGTGCTGATGTCAGAGAGTCAGATGGATGCACTTCGTGACTGGCACCTGGCAAGGCTGTCCTGCAATGCATTCGATCCAGAATCTTTGTCATATTTTGCACAGTTTGAGCGACAGAAGATTTGGCTACAGATATTGCAGAATCCCTGTAATACATGTCACTTAGTTTCTAAGCTAATTTTAGTGACCTCTTAATGGTCTTAAAGCCGCAATGTGTCCCCGGGAATGGACAGACACAGCATACGTAAAGAGGGGAATGATACTTGCGAAGATGAAGTTTGCAACTGCATCTCGCGGCTTCCTAAAACCCGTAAGTCTTATTGCGTAGAAGCAGACCTTGGGCAGCGCTTCGCAACTGTCTGGACGTGCTCATGCCAAAGTACTTTATGTCCTGCATCTGAGACCCCAGCAGACTACTGATGACAGCATCTGAGTGGA